GAAACACTCAAACTCGTTGCTTACATATAACATCTAGTATACGAGCTGTGCATGATGAAAAATAGATCGGCGGTATAATATTGTAAGGCGATTTAGACCGCCTACTTTAGACGGCCGTCCAAATATGATATCTATGGTTTGAATGTCTTGATATTCTACTAAACTGTTTCGAACTACAAAAAAGCAACCAGAACTATTTGTACATGCATTTGTAAATGATTTAATATTAATTCCACTTGCATATCAACTTTCTAAACAAAGACGATGTCGTTTGATAAACACATTTCTATGGATAAACACAAGCTTATACATTCATCTTCTCGTTATGTATATGCAGATTCTTCTACAATATTGCAAGTTAAAATGAATTTTGCCTGCTTATTTATTCATTATTGTAAGCAAGATACTCCCTATATAACGTCCGCTATCAGCGTTTAAATGTATTATTATATAGTTATAGCAAGTGTTTCGGATATTATTTTGCTTAACTATTCGTATATATTGATTTATTTTAGTATATTTCTACATTTATTCCTATTAATTCTTACTACATTTCTTCCATCTGTATATTTCACGATTTGTGTACATTTTAACCTTGACTGTCTTTGGTCACTTATACGCATAACATCTTTTTGCAGAAGTTTACATACAATTCAGCGGAAGATTACATACAATTTTAGAGCAACTATATAGGCCCTCTGGCAGCAATCGAACCGCTGCGAATCGAACCAAGGGCACTAATTGTATATACTCGTCCGCTCAAATTTCTCATCATACATATATACATACATAATCTGGCCCAATCCCCATTGGAGATTTTCAGTGACCGACTACATCAAGTATTACTCGACTAACTTATTTATATTACTTATTATATATTTATCTTCACCACAATTCTAATATTTATTGAACCATATTTATCCCAACTGACTTCAAAGTTTTGTTATTATACCTATACTGGCACAGTCTTTTAACATCACATGAGACCGCAGAGAGAATCGAACCCACAATCGCAGAAGTGCATGAAAGGTGCACCACCACACTCATGTTTCTTCTATAGACTAATCAGGATTTGCAAGAACAAGCACAAAACAGAATTCCATCCAAGCTCCCGAGATACACATAAACACACTTCTGAAAAGTGATTTCATATTCATTTGATCTTCACATTGTATGAAAATAAATGAGTGTCAGACATTCACTGTTTATTACTGTATAACGTTACCAGAAGATACAGAAGTTATTCTCACGCCTTGTATTCTGGCGACCAGCACTCGGCGTGCACACGAATGGAATTTTCCCAAGATAGCTGACTCATGTTTAATATGTTTGCTGCCTGTGCAGTGAGGCACACACTGATTCTTGACGTGCAATGGTTTCTCCAGAGTTCACTCGGCCCAATCTTTCGCGCGATCTATGTATTGTCGAGATCTCGATTGTCGAAGCTACTGTACGTAGTCAAACAAAATGTTTGTTTTGCGTGCACATGTCACTATAATGCATGGTACTTCCCACATGGCTGGATTTGAAGAGGAGGAACAGATTGGGCGGAGGTCACCATTCTACATTTCTGCTGAAAATTCATGCACCTCCCCTTGCAAAAGCGCATTGAATACCACTGAATCCCAAATATTTGGATCATTTGAAGATAAACTTTAACATATTTTTGCATTAGAACACCTATACACATCTTGATCAACTTTTTACCATAAATGATGTCATTAGATGAATTGCAAATGAGTAATTTTCCATTGTCTCGAAAGCTCGTCTAAATAAATATTTTTAACCAGTGGACGTTTGAAACTCTTAGTAAACAGGTTGAGCAAGATGAGGTTATTACTGTTAAGACTTATTACATTTCTTCTTATAATGACCCAAATTGTACACATACCCAAAATCGTATTGGGAGTAAATGGCATTTTAGTAATTCGATGCAAACGATGTTACGAGATATCTAAAAAAGATTTTTTAAAACTTGAGTATAGCAATGACATTTAATTTTACAATATAAAAACAGCATCGAAATTATACTGTCAAAATTGGTTGATCAATATATTAAAATCTTATGCAATAATTTGTTCAATACATGGTTCATGAGGTAAAGCTTGCCTCCGTGGATAGAAGGTGACATCATTAGGATAGTTAAGTAGATTGGAGATTGATGAGGAGTAGATGTCAGCAAAGCGAACCAATCTTCGAGTAAAGTAAGAAGGATTGTGGTAAGTACGAAATACACTTCCAAATTGTGGATTAAACATAGTTTTCAGTTCTTCCCTATAAAAAGTAACAAAGTTTGCTCATCACCACAGTAAAATTGGAAAGGAGTGGAATTATAGAAAGATGAATACATGGGGCCGGTTATTCCAGAGCCGATTAGCTTAACCCTAAGTAAACCTAAAATTCAAAGCCAACTTCGTGACAGCTTGTCTACAAACTTGGAAATATTTCTTCGGAAATCTTGTCTGGATGGATAGGAGTTTACTTCTCAAAAGTTTTGAAATAAACAGACGTGCAGAATTATACAAACCAAAACAGCAGATTAAATTTTAATCCAGGGTTAGCGCTAACCTACTTTTGAACAACAGGCCTATGGCCGCTATATGGCCGCAATGGAAGACGCTTATTATCAAGCTAGCATGCATACCTTAACATATAACGTTCTCTTTTCCATTCTCTCAGCAGCTCGTATGCTTGGTCAGAGTTGTCAGTCTGCAAGCAATGTAACATAAACGTGGATTCAGGTAATTATACATTTTGTGTGGTTTATTTCGATGCTATATAAGGTGAAAATAACACCAAATAATTTCTACGCCTATATAAGGCTGTCAGGTTTCTGTGATCACAGTAGGTATTTTGCATAGATATAAATTCTAATTTTTGATGGATTTCTAAGAAATGTTTGAGGCAACTGACTGAGTATTAAACACATCCCTCAAACATTAAGTCACATCCCTCAAACATTTCTTACAAATTTTCCAAAAGTTAAAATTTACCAATGTAAAATTCCTACGGTCATCACAGACACTTTGATAGTGTAAACCAGCCTTCTATTTTCTGAAGCATGATCTTCTAAATGCATGTACATTCCATTTAGAAGCAATATCGACATTCACCTGGAGTGCTTCAATCAATTCTTGAAGAGATAGCAGCCACGTAACCGATCGACGAAACTCTTCAGTATTTGATATCCTGATCTCTTTCTAAGAAAACGATTGTAGAGGATTACGTGAGATATATATGACGTTAGTTGCATTTAAGGTGGCCATGCAGTCGGTCCTTTAGTCCCATGATGATTCTGACACTGCAGAGAACGAGCGTTGTCTCGACCGCAATGGACCTTTCCCCTTATAACTAAAATTTCGATCTGGACAAAAATTTCATCACAGCTTGAAAGAGCATCACAAAATTAGTAATATTCCAAAGTTTTGTTGCAAAATCTTGTAAAATGCGGATAATATAGCCTTGCGAAGTTTGCCGTTTTTCAGTCAATTTGTATTACAAACGGGAAATTGACATCCGATTCGGGTGTTGGGGCTGCAATTTCTCGTTTGTAATGCAAAATGACTGAAAATTGCAAACTTCGCAAGGCTCTATTTTACTCATTTTACAACATTTTGCAACGAAACTTTGGAATATTACTAATTTTGTGATGCTCTTTCAAGCTGTGATGAAATTTTTGTCTAGACTTGCCTAGATCAAAATTTTGGTTATAAGGGGAAAGGTCTATTAGAACTCGCATCTCAGATTTTCTTGCCCGCCATAGTTTTTCATAAGCCTAAGCTAAGTTTTTCATATCTCAGTTTATCTCCGGTCGTTTATTTGTATCTGGTTCCATGTACACAATGGATATCGGATCCGCAATCTTATTCTGCGCACACAAAGTGCACATTATTCTTGCTGTTGTGGACCGACAATTATTTCACTGCAAAAGTACATGTATATATGTTTCATTCTTACCTCCAGGTCATGAATAATTGCTCCAGTTCTCCATCCGTGTTTTAAAATTGGCCCCTGTTAAAAGAGGGGAATGATTGTTTTCGCTTCATTTCAATGATGCACAACCGACAATTTCGAGATTTCTGGTGTTTGTAATTAGTTGTGTTTATCATAGCGTGCAGCTTAATGATAATTATTGAATGTACCACTCAAGCATGATAAGAAAGGTTGTCTTCCTGCCATTTTGTAGGGAAAGTAGAAAAGCCACTTGATTATGTGCCTACCATCAAGTCACTGTAGACGTGGTCACCAAAGTAAAGCACCTTGGGTCCATACCAACCCGTAAACTTCATGAATTGTTCTACATTGCCCTGTAAAAATCCAGAAATTAACTCTTTAATACGAAAAATGCGCTGATAAGAATAGGTGCATGCTTGATTGTTTCTGTGATGTTGAAGCATGCAGAACAAAAAATATCGATGCTTTATGCAAAGGCTTTTCGGTACAAAACTCTATCTATCTCTCGCCCTTGGGGAGCAATAGCAATGACTGTTACAAAGAACCCAATGGATTCGGGGGTCGTGTTTTTACAGATGAACAAAGATATTTTATCTTATAGACATGCACATACTAATTTTAAAGAACTTGCAATTTTCTTATTCTTATAGGTTTCATGAGACGTCACGTGGGGATCGAGATCTGTGTCAAGGGTAAAGAACGACTTTTATGTTGTTTATGTACGTTGTTTTATGTATATATACTTTCATAATAGTTGGATAATATATACTTTCATAATAGTTGACAGCCATTTTCATTCATTGCTGCTTCACTTGACCTCAGTTCAACGATTGCCCCACCCCCTGAGTCAAATTATGCTAAAATATCACTTGGTTGAAACCCAAGAATTTTTCATGACGTTTTACTAAAGTGCAACATCTCGAGCACGTCTTGTCTGCTCTCATTGCATTGGAGATCTTTCTTCGTCAAAAGAGAAAGACCTTGTACTACAAACCTCAGTATAAAGTTCTCCTCCGTGGAAATGTGTCACGCGTTCCCAGGTCTTCACGCCTTTGTTGTCGAGGCTTCTGAAAGGCCTGTAATAGATTGATCATTAGGGAGTTTAAGATCTTGACGACGAACTACCGTCTACGTTTGGAATAGTTTTTGTGTGTATGCAAATACTAAATGCTTGTCATAACAAATTGATCCCAAATATGTTTTATGTGCATGGTTTTGTGTTCGGTAAGTTTCATCTTTTAATTTTCATCATTTCTTTATAAAAATACTCTCCAACCTGCAACGTTGCGTAGTCAGTTTCAGTGCTATGTTCTTGAATCTGTTTTACAACACAAGAGTGCGATTTTTACGCTGTAGCCAAGGTCGCTACGGTGAAAAGTATGCTCTGGGGATATGTAAATTTTGATAAATCAATGCGAATTAAACAAGGTTTCATCCGTACTCCGTACCCGTTGTTCGTTGCTGATCAGCATCTTATAAACTCCCATATAACTACCTACAGATTTAATGCGTACTATACAGTAGTTCAAATATCAACATTACTTCTTGGATAAACAGGTAAACAAGTCACCTCTACGCATGGATAATTTGGAAAAGCAAAAAAATCCGTATTCAATGGTAAGTTCATAACACTACGGCATGTTGAATGTACCTGTCAGTTCGTTGATAAAAAGATGGCTTCCTAGCACTTGTGACAACAACATCAAATAATTCCATCCATGTCTCTCCTAACATATGACGCATACCCTTATTCCTATCCAACACAAAGGGAAATGGCGAATTTCGCTTACCTAAACCAATATAATGGTACAGTGGGTTTTGCATATTTATCGGAATAATACAGTATGTAAAATTCTTACACTACTATCTTTCGCAGGCATGCACAAAGGGCATTGCTTGTGAGAAGAGTGTTCCTATTAAATCTATAAAACACGGGAGGATTACAGAGAGTACATGTAAGGCACTCCCCTTTCCTCTAGTGACACTTAACACTCGGCCATTAATGATTAATGAAGTCCCTGTACTGCATGCAGTTCTAAGATTGCCGATGCGAAAATCCATTACAGGGCCGTAGGAAGCTCTTTTCGATTGGGGGGGCTGAAAGCGAGGGCCGAAGGCCCGAGGAAATTTTTAAATTTAGAGTCTCTAAAATGCCATTTCCTGGACTTTGGGGGAAGATTTACCAGAATTCTGATAGTCAGAAAACAGCGTTTTAGTATGTCGAAATTTACAGGAAAGTATGGGCCAGACTGTAGTATTATAAATGCGCGGCGGGAATTTTCGTCGTAAATGGCAGTTGCGCGGAAATGAAGGC